CAAAGACTTGCTCCCTTTAAAAAAAAATTCCATACATCACAAATTGCATCCTTTATGGATATTTGGTGGTATATATAGCAATGAAGGAATTTTCATAACTTTGTGAGATGCCTAGATTTCAAACATAATGTTTTACAGCATGTCCAAACTAATTTGTGTGCATATTAATTAATGTTTATTACCTGCTGCCCCTCGAACCAAACTCGATATGGTACAGTTGTGTTAAGTCCAAGTTGCTTTGCCAGTCTACGGACCAATGAGCGAGTTCCGGTCAATGGGATAACAGAATCTTGATCACCGCTGTTAAGACAATAGAAATTCGTAATTAACAAGAAATAAAAGATTATTCATCCTTCAACAAAAAAAAAAAAATGGTGCCTTCATACCTGTATATTAAGACTGGAATTCCTTGTTTGATAAGTGATCCCACAATTTGAATTGTGGGTTTCTCTAAGTCGAGCATGTCGTAGTCCAATATGCTGCAACAGAGAATTTGAGGTTCTTTAGTTCCGGTCCATGTTACATGAAAACTTGTTTCAAGAGAGGAAAATGTTCTAAAGCTGCACAAGTTTAATAAACTTGAGGAAAGAAAGAACTGCTGTAGGAAGAAACTAAATGACAGAAGCTTTGAGCAAGTATTTTCGAGAATATCTTGTTACACTTCAAATAATCTTCATTAAACTGTAGAGAAGTTTACATACAAATGAAATTTTGCTCTGATCACGTGGAAGGATGATAGAAAAACTATTCATGAAATTTAGCCTAATTACAAATCAATCAAATTTGAGAATTGCAAATTACCGCCTTCACTTGTAACTAACACTCTTTATGTCAATGGATGCCCTTTAATTTCAAATATAATTGTGTCTTTTTTTTAAAAAAAAAAATTAATTACTACTTAAAGCTATAATGCTTAAAGATACTAGAATTACTTGCTACAAACATCCCATCTGCGTACTCCAACGAGCTTCGCATGCATAGCCTTTTGCACATCCTCTCGATTCAAGTAATTTATAGTCTCATCCTCAACACACACATCAATCCTTTCGGCATCTTGCTAGAAATCATTTTAAAATACAAAAATTGCAATTTAGATTCAGTTTGTCAACAAATAATAAATATTGCTGACCGAATAATAGAAGTGAAGTTTACCTGAGGAGCAATGAGTTTGGATTGTGACAGAACAGATGGTATACAGACATCTAAGGTGACATCATATTTGTCCACAAATCTACTACTTTCTCTGTTAACAAGGCTCATGACCTTAGAACAAACAAGTGAGACCGAATCTCTGTAGTATTCACTCACGTATCTCGAATAATTGCAACCGGAAGTGAACAATTTGTATGTCATGTCTGAAATTAGCCCATGAGACCAAAAATACTCTGCCCTCGAATTGTAGTCTGAGGCGAACTCGAGTAATGGATTTCCTAGCTGCAAGTAAACAATGCCTATATATCAAACAAGCATCAATTACATCTTTCCTTTTCTGTTGTTTCCTATTTTACTTCTGAGGATTATGAAATTATTTCAGGTAAGTATTCATTTTAGAGATATTAGTAATGAAAAAAGAAAAAAAAAAAGAAAAGCTTACAGCAATTCCCTTGAGATTGATTGAAGGTCTCTTTTGGTTGAGTTGAATTATAAGCTCTGCTAGTTGAGGTACGTAATGACCTATTATGAAAATACCCGAAAAAAAAAAATGAAAGTGGGAAATCGAGGCTTAACTGGAAAACAGAAACTAAGTTTAAATAAAATGGAAATAAAAACAATACCTGCATAACTTTCACCAGTTATAAATAAAGTGTTGTTCCTAAACTGAGGAAATTTGAGGAACCAGCGTTGCAAGAACACAAGATTGTCTTTGGCTAAAATAACAAAGAAACAAATAAGTAAACAAATAAATGAAGAACTTACACCATAACAAGAAGTTAGAGGAAGAATCTTAATAAAATACCCATAACAAGAAGTTGGAGAATTATAAACCAAAAAAAAAAAACAGATTAATACAAATTAGAAAGTCCAGTAAAGAATTTCTTGCCTGTAACCTCATCATTCACTGTTCCATAAGAGGTTGAATAAGAAAATCCAACTCCAACTGGTGTATCCAAATAAAGAACATTTGCTTCTGCAAAATGAACAGCAAAAATGATGAAATCAACATCATTAGTCACATCTCATGATTGAAATCTTAGAATGGTGTCCAAATTGTATCTGACCTCTGTTCCAGCTATACTCATTCGTAAGCAAAACCTTTGCATTTGGCCTAAAAGGTCCATTCTCAGAAAATGCACCAACCCCAATAGATGAGCAACCGGGCCCTTCATCAAACATACCGAAAAAAAGAATTTATTAATCAAACTAGAACAAACCCATTTCAGATATAATTCAATACAAAAAATCAGCCACAAGACTGAAAGTGAAACACACACACAAACACAAGAGCAAAATTAGAAAAAAAAAGGAGCATTTTAAAAATACCTCCATTTAACCACAAGACCACGGGTTTTGAAGTTGGATCAATTTCTGCCTCGACAAAGTAATAAAAAAGTGATCTTTCATTCTTTTCACCCACAGCAACATAACCAGAAAATTGGTGGAAATTCACATTTGGTTGGCCAGGCAGCTGAGTGATTTCGTCAATGTGAGGCAACGGAGAAGCCCCCATTAAAATCAAACACCTCAAGAAAACAAGGAAAATGGCTAAACCCATTATTGCCATTTCGTGACCAGAAAACAAAAAAAAATAAAAATTCAAGACCTCAAAATGGGATTTTTGAGAATGCTAAAAGCCCTTGGACCATAAACCATGTGGAGTCTGAAGAGTGTTTGTGGTGATATATATATGCTTATAATAATGTAATTAAGGTGAAAGCGTGCTGTGGGTGGGGCGCACAGAAGCCTTCCAGCAAATGGAAATGCACTCTGTGAGTGTGTTGTATGAGTGTGTTTCAATTTGTTTATTATTCTTTTGAAATGTCCAAAAATGCAAAAAGGTTGGGTTTTTTTTTTTTTTTTTTNAAAACACGAAAAGGGGTTCTCGAGTTTCTATATAAATTTTCACTCACACACACCACACCAGACACACAGTTATGGTGTTCTTTTTCCTCGTTTGCAAGGGTAGTGAGAGACCAGTAATGTCCTTGTACCATTATTTTTGGTGTTTTGGAGCAAGTTACTAGACTAGGTGAAAAATGTTTCTTACAATTGTACAAAGTGGCTTTTTCTACGTGTGAGTTGGCTTTCTCATTTCTAATTTTCCTATGTGAGAGTGATGAATTGAAATGATTGTGTCATGCGAAAAAGTTCTTATTTTTTATTTTTTATTTTTTTTGTATAATTACAATATAGTAAATCAAAACCAATTAGACTTGTTCATTTTGGGACAAAATCTTTTTCACCTTGTTATATTTTTATTCTTTCTTTTACACACCGGCTAGTCAAATAACTTCTTTTACACCCCAAAAGTCACGAAATGCTATGCGATATTACGCTCGCATATCTAAATGAACCAGCGCATATCCAACCAGACACATAATTTATGACTATGCGAAACCATTTCGCATGTTTAGGATCGCATATCTAAATTAATCGCATAATTACAAATATGCGAAAATATATCGTATTTTTAAGAATCGCATATCCAAATCGAATGCAACATAATTTACGATGATTATGCGCCTTCCTTCTTTTCGCAGGGCTATACGACCTTGCAAATTTATGACTATGCGAAACTTTTTCGCATATAATTCGCATAATTTGTTGACTTTGCATTTTTTAGTAATTGCATATCCAAATCAATCGCATAATTTACTAATATGCGAAAAACTTGCGAAAAACTTTCGCATATATCCAGTATAACGCCGGATAATTGACAATTATGCGACATTTTTTCGCTCGCATATTTAAGAATCGCATAACCAAATCGAATAAAGCATAGTAATTTATTTGACGATTATGCGCCATTTTTAGCAGGACCATATCGACCTTGCAATTTTACGACTATTCAGAATTTGTTCGCATATCTATCGCATAAGTTACGCACCTCATTAAATTGACTGCTTTTTCACAGGTGAGGATTTTCTCTCTGCATTTGTCATGCAGGCAAAAAAACAGTGATCTCTAACAATTTAACGTCTGCACTCTGCACCATTCACCTACTGCATTTTTCTGTTTCTTTCGTTTTAATTCTTTTTGTTGTTCACTTATTTGAATGGCTAGCAACCGTGTTAAAGTATTCTTGCATTATGGTGGTTCGTTTTCCGGAGGTTCATATCTTGGTGGAGTGGCAGAGCTGATGAGAATAAATTACGGCCGACAAATGTATTCTGAAGTATTTTCTCGTGCTCAAACATTATTAAAGGCCAATCCTCTCCATTTTGAGTACATATTGTGGGCCGTATTTAATGGAAGGGAACGACCTGTGAAGATGAAAATCGAATCCAGTGAAGATATCTTAGAGCTGATTGAAGAACCAGGAAATCCCAACATTTACCTGGAGTTGGAGAAGCGAGTAAATGTAGGGATTCCTAGTTCTTTTGGTGTTGGTAGTTCTGCATTTTCCCACGAGGCCCCATATTCCTATCAAGCAAGCCCTAGTTCATTTACACATACTAGATATCCTCGGGGCGTTGATGATCAAACGGCGGGTTGTTCGAACCAACCAGGTCATTCTCGTGACTATGACAATAATGATGACCAAACCAACATGCACAATGATGATTCAGGCGACGAAGAAAAAGAGGTCAATGACAAGAAAATGTTCAAGCTTTTGAGGGCGTGGTATTGCGAGCATATTGAAGAGCTAAGATTAATTACTGACCATATTGAGGCTGAAACTTTTCTTGCATATATGAATCCAAGTAGCACACGGAAATCAGACGTTGAGCAACGAATGTGGTCCCTTCCTATGCCGCCCACGACAACTGGATCAGATAGACAACCCAACCACTTACCCTCGAACAATTTAGAATTATCTTTGGGGTCTGTCTTTCTTTCGAAAGATGAGTTGATTTGTGCCATCCTACTTTATCACTTGCAACAAAAAGTTGAGTGTCGAACACCCAAATCCTGCACTTCTAGGCTAACCTCTATATGTCGGTATGAAGGGTGTTCTTACAAGTTATGTGCAAGGGCAAATGGAAATATATGGAGAATCACTACTTTAAAACTCGAGCATATATGCGAAAGGAGTTTGACGCACAATCGAGCGTTCGGCTAGTTCCAAGGTTCTCGCTCATGTGTTCGCACAAACTATTCGGACAAATCCCCATACGGTATCTACACGGAGAATTATTGAGCAAATGCGGGAGGAGCATGGTTTGTCGACCAGCTACAATGTGTCCCTTCGAGCAAGACACCGTGCTTTTGAAAAAGTTTATGGGGGTCATGAAGAATCATGGGGGCGGCTTCCCGGTTACTTGCACATGTTCCGGGTTCGTAATGCAGGTACAATTGTCGAACTGCAATGGGATGGCGAGGTATTCAACCACTTGTTCTTTGCTCTAGGCGCTAGCATTGAGGGCTTTCAATGAGCTGGTGTCCCGGTGATTGTGATAGATGGTACGCACTTGAAGGGAAAATACAAGGGCATTATGTTTGTTGCAGCTACATTGGACGGGAATCATCAAATCTTTCCCCTCGCAATTGGCATTGGTGATCTAGAGCGTCGTGAGACTTGGAGTTGGTTTTTGACTCATTTGAAAATGGCCTATGGTTGTCCTAAGAACCTCCTCATTGTATCGGATAGACATGAGTCTATCATACATTCTGTCCCAGTAGTGTTCCCCGAGGCGCATCATTCATTTTGTTATTATCACATCACAAAACAAATGAGGCCTTTTGGGAAGCAGGTATTGAACATATTTTACAAGGCGGCACATTGTTATCGGCGTGAAGACTTCTTCCGTTACTTGTCAGCCATCCGAAACCAAAAACTCGAAGCATTTAGAAGCTAACTAATGAAATTCCGGTAAATGCTTGAGCGAGGTGTTTTTTACCTATACGGCGCTATGGATTCATGACATCCAATTCCTGCGAAAGTTTGAACAACAAACTCCTATGGGCCAGGATGTTACCCGTTTGCTCGTTGTTGGAGTGTGTTCGGGCAACGATAGAGAAATGGTTTGCTGTTCGACGTGCATCCGTCGAGGGTCGCAATCATCCGCTAACGCAGTGGACTCAATTGCGGTTGGATCCTTTGTTCGAGAAAGGTCGTACTCTGTCCATTACCACACTCGGCATGCAACGTTATAAGGTTATGGAAGAAACACGATCCTACGTGGTAGATTTAGGGGAAAGAACATGTGAGTGTCGTGTGTTTGAAACAGATTTAATACCTTGCTTACATGCATCTTCGGCCATTCGGTAATGTTAACCAAACAACATTATCCTTTTTTTCTTTAAAAAAAAGATAAATAAATTGTTATATTCTAATATGATGTGCAAATTTATGATATGTACACATGGAAGCCGGGTTAGATATAATGGATTTCGTTAACGACCATTACAAAACTTACTCAGTTGCAAAGATGTACCAAAGCACCATTAACCCGGTCCCGCATCAAGATGAATGGCACTTGCCCCCGGAAATTATGCGTAAAAAGGTAATTCCGCCAAATGATCCCAAACAAGCAGGTCGGCCACGGACTCAACGTTATTCCGCTGGAGAAGGATCATCACGTCGAGTACGGCGTCAGCAGATGTGCTCTCGGTGCGGGGTCACCGGGCATAACAGGGCGAAGTGCCCTCTATACGATGGTGATAATGACTTTTTTTCAAATGAAGAAGGTCAAAACGCACCAACTCCTTATCCAAGAACAACATCGAGACGCCCAAGGAGATGTCGTACTTGTAAAGAAACATGTCACAAATCGTCATCTTGTCCATCACGTCAATTCCATGACAATTTTGATGAAGATGGAGACGTTATGTAATGTTATGTACCTCACTGGAGTTTTTAATTGTAAAGCAATTTAACAGAAAAAAATACGTTTAACGGGAAAAATACTATGTTGGTACCCTACGTTGTGACCTGGACACGATTGACTAACAGAAAGTAGTGAAACTGGGTTGATTGCGCGATTCGCATAACATGTCCCATAATAATCGCACAATTGGGTTGATTGTGCGATTCCCATATCATATTCCATAACAATCGCTGTAATGCCCCATTTATTTGTGATTTATTTGAGCTATTATTATTATTATTATTATTATTATTATTATTATTATTATTATTATTATTATTATTATTATTATTAGTATTGTGATAATATTAATTATTGCTTGCCAAATTGAATGTCTAAATATTATATGTCTAATTGTCAAAATGATTTATTTGTTATTATTTTATAAATATGTAAAATATGTATTAATATATACAGATAAATATATTTGTTGTTCGATTTATCGTGCGTTTGATTTTTTTTATCGAGCCCGTAAATACCCGCGTGAACCAAAACCGAGCCCGTGAGCCGATTTATTTTCGAACCGGCCCAACAAATTGACCCGTGTGAATTTGTCTTGGGAGTCAAATTATTAAACCTAATCATTGTGTATATATATTCATTCACTTGTGTCTATCTCTCTTTTAATCAAATCACGCCCGCAGCCTCCCTTTTCCTCGTTCGAGAACTCTCGATCTCGCGTGAGTTTTCTGTTCTCTCAAATCCAATTTCATCTCATCGTCATCGCATCATAACTTTTGTCGTCCTTCCATCATCCCCTCCGACCAGTCCTTCTTCCCCGGCGAGTCTCTGTTCGCTATCTCCATGAAGACCCTGCAACCGGCGATCTCCTCTACGCTCAGGCACCTCGCCGCTGTTCCTCTTCCGGCGAGAACCCTTCCACCTGCAACTCCGGCGAACCAGCGATCATCATCGATCTCCGCCTGCAAGTTTCTTTCCGCCGGCAAGCCCTCCTCCCGCCACCAGTCGCTGCCCTCGATCGACGGTCCTCCTCCGCGAGCTCAATGTACCAGCGGCTGCGAATTTTCCAGCGAAACTC